GCCACATATCTGACTCAATAACCATTAAAACAACTATTTTCATTCTTATTCAGACGGAACTATTCAGATGCTTGGATTATATTAAACTGAACTTCCAATATTCACCACTGTTCGGCGTCAAGTAACCTTTCCTCTGATCATGAAGCAGCCGGCTTGCTTTTTCTCGCAATGAATCCTGGGATATCCAAGGATACCGAGGACACATCCGACCTGTCCTTCAAATCCGGCAAAAAGAAGGACGCGTTTTAAGGCCGCATAATGAGGAGTTTTTGAATCCGACCAGACCTTGGCGCCGCACTACGACGTGATCGGCCTTCGGAGGACGCAGCCCATAAATTCAAACTGAGGCGTTGTTTTCCTTCCTCCTCCCCTTCCTAGATTGTGAAAAAGTAATCTAAAAATAAGTGAAGTGTGTTTTTGCTTCTCATCTCATCAAAGATAATTTTTGCCTCCTAAAGGAAATTAACTAAGTTTTTTTTTTTTTTTTCTTCCTCCCCTTCCTTGCCTCCTTTTTTGTCCTACCTTCCCTTTATTGGCCTACCAACCTTCCTTCCGTCTCTCCTTTACTCAAAGTTACCATTCTTTGAATTAAAAATGTTTTGGGACCAGAACCAAATATAACCGGTGTAAAAACACTTTAAAAAAGCCAGAGACGATAAAGAAGGACTTTAATCTCCGCACATATTGGGCATTTTTTTTATTACAGTTCACTCATGGTTAAACCTAAAGTTGTCTTTTTTAAATTTATTCGGTTTATTTTAAAGTATACTTTGAAACCTTAAGTGGGAAAAGAAATTAAATATCTTTTTCAACATTAAGATGTTTTCCATCTGTTTCTTTTCTAGACCAACAGGAGGCCAATCAACCTGGACTAAAACGGCCTGCGATGTGTTCTCCACCTACCTGGCAGGAACTGTGGCTACTATGACAATCAAGGTCATTTCTATTCTTACAGTAAAATGACTCTTGATCCAATATTGTAATGTAAAAAACTGTAAATCTCTTTATTGTCCCACAATGGGGAAATTCACTCTCTGGATTTGACCCTCCCCTTGGGGAGCAATGGGCTGCCATTGTGTGGCGCCCGGGGAGAAGTTAGGGGTTTTTGCTCAGGGAGGCTGTGGGAGTCGAACCGGGTTCTTGCAACATTCTCAGAGCACAAGCGCAATGCTCTTATCACTACGCCAACACTCCCCAGCAATATTCCATCAGATGTTTTTTAATGGCTTGAATTCACAGCATCTGTCCTCCTATGTGCTTTTTTTAGGAGGTGAAGGATGGGCCTCCGTTCTCTGTCGAGCTGCACTGCTCCAATAGAACTGGAAAATCTATCAGCATTGCCGACTTCCTGGTCAGC